GAGTTAAAGGAACCCTCAAGAATTCTAGATTTAAAGCTAAAACTCGATAATGAAATTACCTTTGACCAAGAAATTGCAATTTAAATCACACAATACTTTCTGTACAAATCCAGCAAGTGTCCCAATATTTACGAACAACAGTATACAGCTGACAGTACATAAAACAGTCCACAACGTTCGAACCTTCCTTCAGTTTTAGTTTTACCTGAACTTGTACACTCTAGTAACCGCTCCAATTAATTAATCCGCCGTTTCCAAGGATCTCCCCGAGATCTCTCTTCATCTATACATAAAACACCCTGGTACGACCCTTTTACTCGTTTCCAAACGCGATCCTGCAGAAGTTACGACGCGTCACGGGCTTTATAGGGCGGTAAAACGCGGGAAATTCGCGGGGCGTGGGATTTTACAGTCGCGAATCGGTAAAGGAACGAAGAAGCCGCGAAAATACAAGGTTATTAACGCCGTGATCGTTTCGGCCGTGGCAGTACGATAAATTAACTTCGAGGCCGGTTAACAAACAGCCACTAGCCTGGAACACGCGATAAAAGTCGCGTGTAGAGATTTAACGGCTCGTAAAGCATTCGGATCCGCGTTAATTTCGTCGGATAGGCTACGTCTTATTTTACGCCGATATGTTGCTGCACAGAGGAAGAACTAAGCCTCGCTTTATGCGGGCGTTGGACATTGTTACGAGTCGACAACGCGAATAATCTGACTGCTACAGTGACACGTGACTGGAATAGCCATAATTTTCTCTTTATTTTGAAGCAGAAATCAAAGGACCTTACTTTCACCCTTTCGTTGTTCGCTGAAATGGGGAAATTGAAAATTCTCCACTTTTCGTCACTTCATTCAGTCACATTTGTGATAAAAAGGAGGTAAAGGTGTGTTTTATACGTAGAGCGGACTGTCTTGTTGACTGGTCTTTATGGAATCAGTGATTGGATGAACGAGTCGCCAGTTAACCCTTTTACATCTCGCAGAATTTTAGAGAAATTTGCAAAAGTGTTACGAGCTTTTTTATTTTACTATGTAAATGTTTGTAATCTTGGATGAAACAATTTTTCGAGAAAGCTTTTATTTTTGTACGTGTAATGAGAAATTGTGCATGTTGAATCCAGCTAGGAAATGAAAATGAGAACGAAACACGAAAATTCCAGCTACGTAATGTTGCGGTTATGCACAGTGGAAAAAAATAAGAAGAAAAACAAGAAAATTCTAACGAAACGACAGAATAAATAATTCGTGTAAAGCATAAACCGAATTTTAAAAACTGCATATCGTAAAAGTTACGAAGGTGGAATTTTGAGACTGTAAAATAAAGTAGGGTAAAGTTTGGGAATTTTTTTCGTAGGTACCTACTAAATGAAACATTTCAATTTTTTCGGAGCATATAAATGTAGCTTTCACCTTCCTTCTCCGATTAAAAAAATATAAAAATGGTGTAGTTTAACTAATTGAATAATTAAGATATCAGGGAGAAACATAGCTATCAAAAACTCCTTAAGAACAGAGTAATGCATCTCACAATAATTTACTGTACGAGTAATTAACTCGGTACAAGCTCTCGAAGAATTGAGCCACTTTATTTTAAGTGGTTGCTCATCATGCTTCAGATGACACGGGTACGTTATGACCACCCTGTGTACACGTATACCGGGTATTTTGACTCAACCACAGCCTTTCAATATTACGTTACGTATTTTGACAGCAAAGACGAGACTGGATCTGATTTCCCCTCGTGTCGATAACCTTTTGTCTGAGATCCAGTTTCGTCACTCGGTGCGTTGTCCCTTGATTGGATGTCTCGTTGAAACTTCACTTTTGTTTTTTTTTGTTTTTATTTTTTATTTTCGTGACAGCCTGTTATTCGAAACGGAATTTTTTCTGTGGCATCTTGCTTTAAGGGCTGCGAACAGTTACGTTTAAAAAAGAAAAAGAAAAACTGGATCACTTCTTTGTTATTTTTATTGGGATGTGACGAGAATTATAAGGTAGTTATTACGAAAACAGAAATTGTCGTATTATACCCATACTCCGGTATTTAATTATCGTCATATCGATAACAGGTTGTTGGACTTCGAATTCCATTGAAAAAATTTCAGGTCGTGCAAATTATATATAAAACACTTTTTTGTGGAACACATACTTCAAAAATTACAGTCTTGTACGTACACGCTCTTCGTAAACGAGCGTCGATTTTTGCAGAAGCGTACACATACGCCCTTCGTAAAACGAGCGTCGATTTTTACAAGAGCGCACACATACGCCCTTCGTAAACTAGCGACCACTTTCACAGAGCGCACACATACGCCCTTCGTAAAACGAGCGTCGATTTTTACAAGAGCGCACACATACGCCCTTCGTAAACTAGCGACCACTTTCACAGAGCGCACACATACGCCCTTCGTAAACTAGCGACCACTTTCACAGAGCGCACACATACGCCCTTCGTAAACTAGCGACCACTTTCACAGAGCGCACACATACGCCCTTCGTAGCGGAAGGGTTAACTTGAAATGAAATTCAGCGAGTTAGTGAAGGAAACCCTGCGTGCGGATCGTTAGTCGTAAGAAACGCGGGAATCTCGTTGTCCTGTGCCTGGAACGAAGAAGAAAGGCCGAGTAACTCGAGACTCTTGTGCGAGGAGGAGCGTTTAAACCGCTGACCGTAAACACAGAGAAAGAAAGAAAGGTCCAGTCCCTGTGGCCTCTCGCAAGGGCGTTAATTACAGGGCTGCTTTCGTTTCTTCCCCCCCTTAGTCGATTTCCGTTGCCGGAAACATGCGTGTGTATATGCCGTGAGTGTGTGAAGCACCGTTCGAATTCGCGTCGAGTGGTTAATTCGGATTAAATGGAAAGAACCACGCTAAGGTACGCGCCACAAGCTGAGAGAGTGACTTTTAAATTAATCGAGCAATGAAACAACATTTGAAACCGTTTACCGTTTGACACTTATTGTTCTCTGCGGCGTTTCAGGGTTGAACGCTTGTTCGAGAGCCTATGATGTGTGGTGGATTGTGAGGTCGCTTTGGGGATTCGAGGGGTCGCGTTAATTAGGGAGGCTGAAATTACTTTGGGAAACTTTCGGCTGAAACTGTGATAAATGTGTGGAATATTTGAGATATTAGATCAAGGAATTTGCCTCATTTGCAATTATTAACTTAATTATTAATTTCTCGTTTCTTAAAAATATGTAGTTTCATTGTAAAAAGTTAGTATAGAGAAAGTTAAATTTGAATTTTTTCTGTGACTACCCTTCTGGTCGAGATAGAAGGTTGAAATTTGGTGTCAAATGTTTTCTTCTAATAAGCTATCGATTAATCCATCGCGAGTTTAATTTAGTTTAAAGGCACTTTCGACAACTTTATCCTGCTAAACCCTTATGTATCTACTTGTTTATATTACGAGATTCCATAATTATTTTTATCTCAATTTTTTAACGACTGTTTACATTTGCTCCGCATTCAACAGGTGTCCTAATATTTGTAAACAGAAGGGTACACGTGTTTTACGTTTCTAAAATTTGTCGAAAATGGACCGATAACATTTCCCCTATCGAACTATTCTGTACGTTTAATCGCCAGTGATTGTTAACCAGTACGAGAAAATGTGTAACAACAGGTATCACGTTACAAGCCCTCGTGATAACAATCGATTCTTCTGTTCACGAATTCCTAAGGTTGAACGCGCTACCTGCGCCCGACGGGTCATTGTGAACGTTTTCATCGAGTTTTCGATGGAACGTCGCTATTATGGGGTCCCTGAATGGCCCCCGTGACCGCACAATGGCCCGTTGTCGTTCTTGAAATTACGAGGTTCCAGCATTGCTCGAACCATGCCGTGGCCGAGTTTGTGGCATGCGAACGACCGGCCTGTTTTGAAACGGAAGTTCCCTCTTTTAATCGCGTCCACCAATCTTCTCTGCATTCCCTTCCTTGTTTCTGAATAATGCTGTTTTCAGGCTTGTCCAGCGGCTTCCGGATACGGCGGATTTCTTACAGGTGTTTCTGTGGTCAGCCAGGTTAAATTTGTGTGGAACAATTTGCAAATTCACTTCACAGTATTTTTCTTTTTTTCGTTACTATGTTAGTACAGGTATAAATCGGTACGATATTTGAAAGATAACTCTAAAGATTGTTTATTAAACGAGAAAATTGGAATTAAGCTGCTTCGATTATTTCTTCACTTTACTTATGAATTTATACGCATAGTGGTATAATTCAGGCGTTGAGAATGTAAAGAGCGAATTCAACAGTCTTCTCAATTTTTGTCCGAATGTTTAAGTTTGCTTCACATTCAGTAGAATTTTTTCATATTTTTCGAAAGCCTAGAACAGTAGAAAAATTAGACTAACGATAGTTTATTAAACGAGACAATTGAAATTAAGCTACTTTGGTTGTTCCTTTACTTTATCTGTGAATATCTACATGCATAGTGATACAATTGAGGCGTTGAGAATGCAAAGAACAAATTCAACAATCTTTTCAAGTTTGTTTCACATTCAATAGAATTCTTTAAAATTTTTCGAAAGCTCAGAACAGCAAAGAAATTAGTCTTGAGCATAGAGTACACTTTGCCTATGGAGTGTGGAAAAATCTGCCTACAAAGGGTTAACCCTTTGAGGCCTGTAGACTCAGATATGCCTTCACAAAACACCAATAAATTTTCATACTTTCAAGCAATAAAAATCGTCAGCGTGACCATAAACTCACATACGCAACATTTAAGAAAAACATAAATTTGACATACTTCGATCAAAAAAAAAAAAAAAGAAAACTAAAGTAGTAACTTAGAAGTATCTTAGAATTTCTAAGAAGAATTCAACGTTGCGTCGCAAAGAAAACTTGAAGCAAACGTGATTATTTCTCTCGAAATTTCCGTTCCTGTCGAACACGAAACCCGATACGATAATTAACACGGCCGTTTGGCCAGGTTCGCACCGGAAACGAGGGAATTACCTAGTCGCTAAATCGCAAATTCTCTTGTGCGTTTCAGACACGTCCTACGAGAAGGCCTGTCGAAGGGGTAGCGCGCCAGCCACCCCTGTCCTCGGAGCACGACCCCTGGACGTCACCCCCAACAGAATCGTCGTAAGTATACCTCATTCCGCTCCCCTTTAAGTCCCTGTAATTTCGATTCGTTGTAATTTTCGATCTGTGATAATAATAACGCGGCGTGCTGCACGCCTCGCTACCCTTTGTCCGATTCGAACGGTACAGTGGAACAATGCTTTTCCTTCGAACCTCTTTAATCGCTGTTATTTCGGTTACGATTTCGAAGCTTTGCAAGGTGAATCGTTTTTATCCACTGCGTTCTTTTTTTTTTTTTTTTTGCCGACGTTAGTTACAGTGGATGTGTGACGAATTTAGAATGGAATATGCTAATTTGATTGACCGAACGTACGAGGAATTTATTAGGGGCTTGCCTGATAAATTTACCCTTTGTACGGAGCTCGTCGAGTTACACGAATAAGTGAATTTTTCATATAAAAGATAAAATTCAGTTTATTTCATTTTTGTATGGATTTGTTAAACTTGTAGAATATAATTTTAACGTTACATTGGAATAACAGATGTTCCGTTTAGTATTTATTGCGCAACGTGGCCATACGAATACCGGAGGAACTTCCACGCGGCCGATAGAAAGGGCGTTAATTGGCGAAATATCTCGGAGTAATTATTTTATCGAGATGAACGGGCCAAGCTCGAGCTCGCAATTAACGCTAAGTCTCGCTTGTTCGAGCGTTGAAGAAGATCTTCGGTATGCTATCTCGTCGTAGATCCTTATCGCGAGAAATACTTTCGGTGAATCTGTCAGCGCTGCGCCAAAGTGCATTAGACTTGCAGATTAGATCTGAGTCAGGAGTTCTCTCTATAGGGGACTCCTCTCTGTCGGAATTCGACGTTTCTAGTGTCGAGCCGGATGCTTCGAACCTCGGAGGAACTTCCGCTTATCGAATTTTCGATTTTTTAATCGTAGATCATATCGCGGGAACGGTCTGCAATATTTTCTAAAGGTGAAACCACAGAACTGATAAAAATTTATTATTCTATTCTGTTTGATGGAGAGAAAATTTTGTTTTTCCAACGGAGAAATTTTTTGGATTTTTCAAATTATAGATCTTCCCTTGTGAGTTAGTTTATCTTATTTTAAATACACGTGAAATAAATAGAATCAAAAGTGTATAAAGGAAATAAGAAATTTTTCTTTCAAAATTTTTAAAGATTGTATACTCCACTGATAAGAACAAAAAAGAGTTACAGTTTCATTTTGTCCTTTTAGTTTCTTTTATCCTTTAATCCTTTTTTTTTTTTGTTTGACGCTTATTATTAATGTAATACGCAATTCTGAAACGGAAGACGATTTGATATATTCCACTCACGTACTTACAAAGATCTCTCGAATCATGATAGATAAATCCTCGTAGACGATTCCTTTGTTGCAGCTTACATTCGGTGCTTCCGGTTAAAATGGCGTGGTGCAGTAACTTGTAGTTGGCTGTCGTGTTCCCCTCGGGAAACATTTCGTTTTCGAGGCACGAGAAACGAGATTCGAGTTTTCCGATCACGTATCTTCGATCTTTCGAATCTTTCAGTGCATTGAGTCGTTCGGTTGGGTGTACCATGCCACCTTTCCCTTTATTCCTACAAACAAGCTACTTCGAACATCACGTTCCTCGTGTACCTCCCTCGTTCTTCGAATTACTCCTACTCCTGTACTTCGTTCGCACGTCGTTGTGTGAAATGCATCATAAAAATCCTCGGTTCGATCACAATGATCCTATAATTAGAATCAACGTGATTACTTCTCGTCACTCGGTCTCTATTTTCTTGTTTTTTTTTCATTTTTAATTGTTCGAGACTGGTTTCTTTGCTATTCTGCGTTGTTGGAGGATCACAGTGATCTACAATTAAAATTAATGGCTCTTTTTCTTATTCTTAATTATCTCACTGAGTCTGGTTTCTTTATTATTCTGTATTGTTGGGAAAAATGCAAATTCGGAATTTTCTACCGTTTTCTTAATATTAGAAGCGCTGGCTGGGTCAAAATTGACCCATTAGCAACTTGCCAAAAAACGTGACACTTTCTTTACAAAGTTTGTACCTTTCTGACGTTGTTTTCTGCATGTACATGATCGCTATATGAAAAATGAAAAATATGAAATATGAAATGAAATATGAAAAATCGCTAGTTTTTATTAGGGAAAATCCTAAGTGTAAGAGGTGATTTTCTCGTGTGCTATTTTTCACCCCTTTGGCAACGTACATGGGAAAATTGATCTGTTTTATGATGATATTGTCCGCTGATAGTGTGAATAAGTGCCCATAAAATTTGCATAGCCAGTGGTTACGTTTTTCAAAACGATTTAAACAAAATTTGCATAGAGTAAAATTTCACCTGTGATAACCTTTAACCTTTGTACCCATTTCTAAATTCTCCTCTGACAATTCTATCGTAAAATCACTCCGGATCCTTACCTTTTAGACATCTTCACTCCGAAGATAAAAATGTACGCAAAGAATTCTAAATATTAGAAGCTTGAAGCAACTGTGAACATTTTGGTTGCCCACGTACGGGTCAAGGGTTAAAAAGGGACGTCTAATAATTGCATCGATCGATGAAAATCTCGGTGCTCCTCTCTCATACATGGACATAGTAATATTTAATCGCGGCACAAGTCGCCGCCGCAATTTCGTCCCTCGTTTCACCGGTGATGGGGCCACTCTATCCTCACAGAGTCACCTTTGCCCTTCGCTTCAATTTCGTTGCGTAAACCGACACGCTCCCTCGTCGAGAGTGGATGCAAAAGCGGACGACGCAGTATGGAAAATATCGACCCGTGTGCCGTCTTGGCTCTCTTGTTCGCAGGTGTTCTCAAATCTCACCACGCGGTAGATCGCTTTTCTAGGACGAGAACGGCTAGACGCGGAGTCGCAGGTGTGTCGCGTTAGTTTACGCTGAACTCGGCCGAAACTGTCCACACGATGAAATGGCTAGACAATACGCGATGGGGACGTGTTAAATTACCGCTTCGAAGAGTCGGCTGTCTAGGGTGGCGAAACATCGACGCCTAACATTTGGGAAGAGTTTTTAAGTATGGCGGTGTTTGAAAAATTTGCAAAAATTTTTAAATCACTGTTTTCTTTATTAAATAACATGCAAAAGTGGTTCGTCGAAATAATTGAATCACATTTCGATTCAATTGTAGATTTTAATTTAACCCTTTATCACGCCGTGTGACTTAGAAGTAACTATTTCATGTCAAACGACCATAGTAAATTTACTATAATTATTCTAACTTTAAATAATATAAGAATGCATTTTTGTTTATCCTGTGAGAAATGGGGACTGGGTAGGGTGACTCTTCGGTAGCTTTTCCAAGTCAAGCTACATTCCTCGCGACTGATGTTAAAGATGGGTGACCGCCAACGAAAAAAAAAATTCACTCGAATATAACATTTTCAAAATTTCATTTCCCAAGCAAAACGACAAAATTTCCTCACAATTGAGTAAATCACGAAAATAATTCGTGGAAATAAATTAATCAACGTTCTCGAGAAGGAGTCAACCAGAAGAGGGGGATCGTTATTATCCAACCGATAATTGAATGAATATAACATTCATACATTTCATTACACTTCCAGCGTTGTGCAGCGTTTTTTCCGCCTAAGCGGTTTTTCCACTTACCGTAGTGCCTCTTAATTTTCAACGCTGTCGCGCATTCTATTCCATAAAATTCACTCGAGACATGCCCCATTTCCATAAAATTGTTCCGCCGCGCTTTATATTCGAAACGAGGGATTCCTTAAATTCCACGGCCAGGGATCTGTCGTAAATTGATCCAAGGAGAACGCAAATTTTCCCGCGCGATCTCCCCCCCGGCTAAGAATTTCATTTAAAGCGTTATTATAAGTGAAAAAATATTAATTACGTTCCATATGTGAGAATCCCCCGTTTTTTCTTCACTTGTGACCCACGGCAATTTCACGACGCGAAAATAAACGAATTCCCGATGATCGGGTAAATCTGGCAAAAGGGAATGCGCGTAGGAACAGGGCAGAGATACGATCTTGCGAGTGTAAAATAAAGGAGAAACAAGTGTAATACGCTTTCGATTTAATTACTCGGTGTTTGTGAGTTATGATAATAAAATCGAGGAGAAGAAAAGAAGGGAAATGTTTTACTGATTGGTTTACAAGCTGTGTAGTAGTACTATCTTTGGTGGTCAAGGTATCGACAATCGAGAAACGATTAAGAAATTATAGTCAATAAAGGTGAAATATGTTTGACATTTTTCTCGCTTTTCCCCGTTCGAGAAGATTGTGTCTGTGACTACGTGCAGTTTCGTAAGTGTGATATTTTAGAATTACGCGACGAAATTATAGAGTGCAGGGGACATTACGGTGATTGATCGAGATTGTTGCGGTAATTGCTGATTCTAGAAGATAGTCGAGTTTTATAGAACGAAAATATGCAGATTTTTCTACATAAAAAAGTTGCTCGTCAAAATTTTCAAACACCTGCAGATAGTACAGAATATATAATTTCACAGAGAATATCGATAAAAATTCTTAAAAATAAGAGAAATTCCAATTCGACTCTCCTTAATCCTTTCGCTATTTTAGTACGTGACTCACGTGACAGAGGGTAAATATTCAACCGTAGCCAGAAAATCGTTTATTTTGGCTGCGTCGTTTTAAAATTTGTTGCATTAAATTAGGGTAGAAATACTTATAAGATACAATTAAAGATTGAGGCTAGAAGTGCGCCAAAAGGTGCGAACTTTACAGCGTGAGTAAACTTTTAAAACGCCTTTAGGCGCCAACAGTAATGGAAGGGTTAATCAGTCTTTCCCAGATAATAAAAATTGTGACACACGTTTGAAAAATACTCAGACACTCGACAAACATGAAACATGCGCTACAATCTAAATTCATCCCATCTCTTCTGTAACCCTTCGTTAACTTCCTGGTGCAGCCACGAATCAACAGTCAATTTCCATTGGAACAAAACTCCGCTTTGTTCCGCGTTGCACTCGTCTAAATGCAAGGAATTACATTCTTCGAGCTAAAAACAATTCGAAAACGCC